TGGCGCCACTCGTCAGATCCCGACGGGAGGCCCCACAAGTCGTAGACCACACCGCCCTGCCGGGGAGGAAGATGACGATAAGACGAGGGCAAGATCCGGGCAGCTCGGGCGCGAAAAACTCTGGGATGTATGAGCGGCCACGGGCATGAACAATGCATCGGGCGTCGCGCCCATTCCCGAGCGCCCTCGAGCGCCCTGGAACTGTAAACTCGTGAAGAACAACCCACACGCCAGCGTGCCCGTCTTTGACGGGCACCTCCGCGACTGCCACCCTTCTGCGGCTGTCCTCGTGGGACTCTGCCTGTGCGCATTCCAAGTGCCACGGGTGTCAAAACGCTGCCCTTCTCGACCGAGTGACAGAGGAGGGATGTAGCACGAGGAGAACGAAGAAGCGTTAGCGACAATAGCAGGGAGCGGGAAGGGGGAGACAGACGGAGTGGAGGATAAAGATGACCAGGAGCTCAAAACTCGGAACTGGTTACCCAAACGCGCTCACTGTGACGATGCATCCGTTCTGAACCAAATAAAAAACACGCACGTCGACCACGTACCCGTGTGGCATTGAGCCACCAGAACATTGTCACGATAATTAGGCGTGCGGAACAAATGCGTGATTTGGCAACCGCGTTGTGTATGACATCAATCAACCGTTCGAATGACACACATAACCACACCACGTCGAGAATGTGCGAGCGATTTCGAATGACGTGGCGTTCAACCTTGATGCCTGAGCCTAAGGCGTTCGCCATAGAGAAGCCACGAAGAGAAGCAGCCGGGCACACAAACCATGACCACGCTGCCTCCATCTCGCTCCCAAGCTGAAGATCTTCCCTTCTGTCCCGCGCTTCACCCCCTCATTACACCCCCTTCTCCCTCCATGTCCATACCGCTGCCTGCTTCCATTGGACACTCAGCCTCGCTGCTCCTCCGTCCACTCCCATCCTTTCGCCCCCCCCCCCGCACCCCGCGAAAACTGCGCACCGATGGCTCACTCTGGCCAGCGGCCCCTCGGCTTGCGGATCCCAGCTCGGATCTCTGGCGGCCGCCCTGCACGGACCGGGCACCCCTCGGGAACGCTCTCGGCCAGGCGCAGCTGCTGGAACGCATCCCGAGGCAGGAGGCGCTCCAAGAACCAGCGACCACGCCCGACCACGCTCCGCCGCGCACCAAATGCCACCCTGGCGCAGCAGCGCTCTTGCGGTGCCGCCGGCCCGCCGCCGCAGCCCGGCCAATGAATCCGCCCCAGGCTGCTGGAGCCGGGCCCGGGCACGGCGGCGAGGGGCAGGGGCTCCCCAGGGGCTCAGAGGAGCCGACGAAGGTGTCAGGGGTTGTTGCTGGTGCTCCTGACCCATGGTGCCCCCAGCTTTTCGCTCGATCTTGGAGCCCCTGAGGCCCTCTGGGCCTCGTGAGGGGTGCTCTGGAGGCCGCGGGGGTCTCTTTGGACATCCCGCCAAGGGCACTTATAGCAACACGCGACGGGGGGCCAGGGGGGCACCCGCACCTCGCTGGCTTGGAAGCGGTCGGGGCGGTGCCACACCATGGCGTGCTGGAGACACTCGTGCAGGGCCCATGGCGAAGAGGGAGGCGTCGGGCAGGGCACCGCGGGAAAGGCGGACGGGCCCACTGGGGCCCATCGGGGAGCAGCTCCTCGGGGACCACACGGGCACCTGCCCCTCCGATGTCGTGATACGTGCTCACGTCATGTAGGTTAAGGGCCACAAGGAGGCGCTGGGGAAACGTGTAAAAAACAATAATCTGCCGCTGGGGCCAACGTTGGAAAGGACGTTCAAGCAATCTCAGTGGCGACGGCAACAACCACGCACAGACTGGGAACCCGACGTGTTCAGGCGCTGCTGGGCACTTGTCGTTCGTCATCCTGCGCTAATGAGCCCGGGAAGGGTGGACTTCATCTCCACCGAACCTCAACTGCCACAAAAGGACCCCCCCCATGAAATCCGGACAGCATGCGAGAGCCTCCGACGAACTTCCGCACTTGTTGGTCAGCGAAAACGTGGGGCACGAAGCGCAGGACAGTAACAGCCAGGGCGGGGCAAGGCCAATCGCGCGTCAAACCTGAAGGAACGGGATGGGAACAGCCGCGGAGGAGGGCGAACACGAATTTCCGAAGAGGCGAACTCACGACCAGATCCGAAGAGGATAACCGCTTGGCATCCACGGCCAATGTCCCAGCTCGTGCGGTGCGGACGACTGGAGGTCGACTGTGATCCACACAAACCTCTCCGGGCGGAACCTCCAGATGGGGGAGGAGGATGTCGGAGGAGGGATGACGGAGAGGGCGAAGCAGGAGTGGCGGGCATGAGCAGGAATGGCGGGAGGAGGACGGAGGGCAGAGACCGATGAGGGCGGAGGAGAGAAGTGAGGAGGCACAGGACGATACTGACTGACGACACCCGATGATGCCTGGAAGACCAGGCCTTCGGAGCATCAAAACGTGTCAAGGACGTACTACATCCTCAATCCACCACAAGTGATATTCGATACACGGCGGTGGACGACGATAACGACGACGATGACGCCGACGCTGCCGACGACAGAATAACAATTGTTCGACGCAGGGATCCCCATATGTGCATCTCATTGTCTGGCACGTTCTTCTGTGAGCACCTGAGCTTGAGCAAATCTAAGCGCTAGCAAGGCTGAGGAAGTGCAAGTCCTCATGTAAACTCTCCTCTCTGTTTCTCACTGCCGACGTATGATGCCTTCTCTTCGCCGCCGTATTTTACCTCCTGGCGGCTCCCGCCTGGGGTGCCCAAGTGCTACACCGCGGTGATCATGGGGCCCTGACAAGGTGGAGAGGTGTCGGAGGTCAGAAAAAGCGCCTCGCTCGCGACATCCCACAATGCTGTCGCGAACGTGCAAGTGTCCTATCCCCTGGCGGCTCCCCTTGGGGTACCGGCGGTGTCGGTGCTGTCTGCTGGACTCTGTTGGTGCCTGCTGAGCTGGTCTGTCGGTGCTGGTGCAGGGTTGTGCTGGTTTCGCATGAGGCGTCCCCGAGATCTGGCCGCGAACGGGCGCATGGAAGACGCCCCGGCGGCTCACCCTTGGAGTGCCCAAACCAGCGTTTCGCTCTAGACGTCCCCACGCTCTGGCCGCGAATGGGCAAGTGAAACACCCACTGGCAGCTCCCTCCAAGGGCGCCCAGGTGGCATGGCTGCTACATCGCGATGATGATTGGGCTCTGAAGGGAAAGGAGTCTAGAGCGCGCAAACCAGCGTTTCGCTTGAGACTTCCCCACAATCTGGGCGAGAACGGACATGTGTCCTACAAGGAGTCGAGTGCGCAAGACAAGCGTCTGGCTCGAGACATCCCCACAATCTGGGCGCGAAGAGAAATGTCCTGCCCCCTGGCGGCATCCCCTTTTGGGGGCCCAAGGGCAATCCCCGCTACATCGCGGTGATCACGAGGCTCTGAAAGGAGAGGAACTGGAGGTGCAGAAAAAACGCCCCGCTCGAGACATCCCTAACACTTCGGGGGTACTAAAATTTTTGACCATAAGATGAGAATTGCCTCGCTGGTCACGCGTGCCGCGGAGGACCGATCAGGATGCAAAGGTGCCTTGATGCGGATTCGCGAGCCTTTGTGGGCCCTCTGGGACGGCCAACCAGTGAACCGAGAGCGACCGCATTGGAGAAGGATGCCCAGGGTCTCACAGCATCAATGCAACAAGGAATACAATGAAACATCGCGTTGGCATGATAAAGACAGGGTCGATGGCGATGATGACACGGACGATCAAACGTGACCCAAGCGGAGTGGTTTACTGTGAATGGGTTCAAGTCGGAGTGTTTTCCGGCCCAATCTTAAATGGGACGGAGTAATTATCACCCTGTTTTAAATATATATTATTATATTCTTACAGGGTGAGAGCCCATCGGAGTCGAACCGCCGCCCGACCCAAAACATGTCGCTAAGATTCTACGGGGGGGCAGGGGGCGTCGAGAGCATGACGTCTTATGGTCAAAACTATAGTACCCCCCGTGCATCTGGGCGCGAACGGGCGGCTACCCCTTGGGGTGCCCACGTGCCATTCGTGCCTCAAACGATCGCCTCGATCGAGACATCCCGACAATCCAGGTGCGAACGGTCAAGCGTCGTACTCCCAGGCAGCTACCCTTTGTGGCATCTAAATGCTATGCCTGCAACAAAGTGGTGAACATGGGGCTCTTAAAGCAGAGTTGGAGGTGCAAAACGAGCGCCTCGCTCGAGTCATCCCCACGATGTGGAAGCGGACGGGCCATTCAGTGTCATACCCCCTGGCGGCAAACCCTTGGGGTGCTCAAGTGCTATGCCTGCAACATTGCGGTGGTCATTGGGTTTGTGAGTATGAGTATGCATAAGAGCGGGTCTGAGAATGAGAGACTGAGTAAAGGTGAGTGGTATGAGTGAATGTGCGTGCGGGTGCATGTATGATTAAATTGATTATGAGTTGATCTGAGAGGGATGGTCTGAGTCTGAGTGAGTGGGAGTATGAGCAAGTTGTCTTGCGTATGAGTGAAAACAAGTATTGGTGGGTATGAGTCTGAATGATCTGCCTGACAGGGGTTTGTGTAAGCGAGTCTGAATATGAATAGCCCTGAATGTGAGCGATACATCGGAATACGAATCTGTGAAGGGAACGGGAGAAACCGGGAGTGAGAAGGAGGCGTCACACCAATAACAGGAACCCCGTACTTAGGGTACGGGGCAAACTAGCAACCCAAAGCCTAGGATATGAGCACCATCAATACAGCAATTTGGAGAGCACGCGCGGATTTCTCGCGACGGAGCGCTGGACCGTCCTGCCCTGGCTCGCGGAGCGCGCCAGAGGCAGCGCTCACGTTTACGTAGTCTGTTGTTCCTCGAGACGGCGTCGGGGCCCACGACAACGCCGACGCGCCGACGACGCCGCTGCCGCCGACGAAGCCGCCGCCGACGACGCCGCCGACGGCGGCGCAAGCGACGCCGACGCCGACGACGGCGAAGCCGACAATCACGACGCGTCAGCAGCCGCAGCCGCGGCCGAGGACGGCGGGTTCCTGCAACGGGTCGTCGCCGCCCGCTTCGGCCGGCGACGCCACCGCATCCCAAGCCAGCCGGATCTGGCCCGGCGCGGCCGAGTACGCCGGGTTCCGCCTGGGCGTCAGGGCGTGGATCCGCGACAGAAATATACACACACTGACGCCCTCCAGTGGGTTTTTTCCAGAGCCTCGTGGGGAGGGGGGCCAGCGACTTCACACACACACACACCCACTTTGCCTCGAAGGCACAGGGAACACTCCTCGGCGGACGTTTGTGTCTATATCTTCGTGGCGTCGGGGCTCGAGGCGAGGCGCTGCGGTGGCGCATCGCCGCGCGCCGGCACGCAGGACTGATTCCCTCCTCCTCCTCCTCCTCCTCCTCCTCCTCCTCCTCCTCCTCCTCCTCCTCTACGTCCTTTTTCGGATGGTAAGAGTGGAAGTAAGCGTGGGGAAGGCGGGTTCGAGGCTCGAATTGCTCTCAACGTGTCTCGTCCTGCCTGGGGATGAACGAATCTTCCGTGGTCGCCACGGCTGGGTTCCACTTCGAGATTTAGGTCAAAAACCACACCCACATGGGTCCTGGGCGATCAGTTGTCCGATGGGGGGGCGACTTTTCGAGGCCTGAGGTCGAAGGTTCGGGATTGGACGTTTTCGGATCGTTTTGGTCCTCTGGGGGGCCGCTCGTCGCCAGAATGCGCCCCGGATAAACTCCAGGGGTCAATTTCCAGGGTCGCCGTGCAGGACAAGCGGTCCTGGATGAAAGGGGTCCTGGACTTTCCATCTCTCCTCTCGGGCCCCTTGATGCCATCCACTTGCCCCCAAGGTCGCCTGACTATTGGCACGCCAAACATGGGCACGGGAAAAGTGGACCCCAAAAGCGAGTGGTGTCCAACTCCGACAACGGCCGCTTTTGGGCACACGACTGTCTCCAGAAAAAAATGTCACCGGCGATGCCCAAATCGATGCCTGCACAATACGGACAAGATCTGCTGTCGGCATCCAGCTCCCATGCTTCCAGTATCCACCTCGATCACTCCGAATCCCCGGGGTGGAGAACTGGTCCTGGGGAACACCCCGATCTGGGACCGCCCCCCCCCCCCCGCGAATTCTGTCGTCCTTTTGTAAGCCTGGTTCGGGCAAGTGGGGTCGGAGGATCGCGCCGCACTGCCGATGCATCGATTCATCGACGACGTCGGCGCGGAGAAGCTCGGGCCCCGCATCGAATCGCATCGCCAATGCACTTGTGATGCGGCGCGATTCCCCGACACCATCTAATCGGACCCAATATTGGAGGCTTGGGTCCGCGTGGCGACCGCGCAAGGCACTCAGAGCACGACGAGCCTCAAGAAGACAAGGAACTGAACGATACTGGCACGGCAACTGAGGCAACACATTCTGACAATGATGCCGTAGATGTATGCTATCAGAAGCTTATGGCATACGCATACCACTATATGCACATGTGTGTGAATAAGCCATGCGCACGCACATATGTGGAAGCTGATGACGTAAATCGTGCAATTGAGGCCGACGGCGCAGCCCTCGTCCAAATGGATCGTATGTATATGTCAGAATCTGTCCGCTGCGCTAATTAACAAGCCGTGGCGTCATCAACCACATTCTTCCGCAATTCGTACCCAATGTCGGAATTCCAGCGATCCGTGTAGTTCGCCAATCAGCAGCGGGCACTTTTGCCCCCCAGGTAGCTGAAGCTTTGCGCGAGGACCCGCTGCCAATGCAGAGCCAGGATCCACACTACCCAACCGCAGCCACCACGCACGGTTTTGCGGCCGCCGTCAAATGCAGCGGATAGGGCAACCACGGCCAGGACGGCTGCCACGGCATGGCCTGCGCCGTCCCTGTGCGAAGGAGCGGCGCTCAGTCACCGCGGACGAAGCCAATCCCGATTTTCGCGGTGCACCTGGCAAAGGCCGACCTGCGGCGGCCGCGCCCCTTGCGACAGCGTCTGCCACAAGGTCTGATGAATCCCTCGAAGCATCGGCAATGGCATCCTGCTCCGGCAGCGCGCGCGGCCCTCCACCCAATTGGCCACGGGGGACTCTGTCTGGTCCACCTGGTACGCTCTGCGAGCCGCGCAGCGCGTGGCGGCCCCTGGCGGCAGCTGCGCCAGGGCCCTGCGTTGCCGACGGCGCAACGCAATCAGGCGTTTGCTCCCCCGTGGAGTGCCGCGCCACGTTCTGCCAGCCTTGGCGCCATGTTTTGCCGAGTCAGTGTGGAGCTGCTTCTTAGGTGGCAGCCCGTGTCTGACTGGCGCGGTGCCGCCGCATCGGCTTCTCGTTGACCTGGTCCAACGGCACGCGGGATGAGCACCGATCAAGCCTCACTTGCTGGACTTCGGGCAGTGGTGCATGTACGACGACGCCTGCCTCCACACAGTGCTTTAGCGACCGAAGGAGTCGAGGACGAACCCATGCTGGCGCTCCAGCAGTCGTTCCTCGGCGCACTTGTGCCCGAACTCCAGGTGCTGGTGGCTCGCCAATTTTGTGGCGCGCTGCATGTACCGCGCCGCGGCTCCGTTGGGTTCTTGCGGACGCTGGCCATGTTGCGAGTCATGCCACCGTGCGCCTGCTCGAGGCGGAGCACGGGCGAGTTCGTGAGCACCCAGCTACCGCAGCCGATCAGCAACGTCGTCAGCGCCGTCTCCGAGCAAATAGTGCGCCAACCTCTCTTTCAGGGGCAAGTCGCGGAACCCGAACGCTCCCGTGGCATAGGATGCTTTGGCTGCCAGTCGCGCCCAGCCTTCTGGTTGGGGAACTGGCCACTGACATACTCTGTCGCCTGGCGTTGGTGTGGAGACGCGCAAAGACGAACGCCTTCAGAACCAACCGAACGACAACATGGCCCCCGCGAGCGTGGCTAGCGTGTCCTTTACCAACGTGAACGAAGCGGCGTCTAAGACCCAATTCCACATAGCAAGAATGCGTGTGCCACTTGCAGGTGGCATGGACACCGTCACGCAGCTCGCCCCAGTGAGGCGACACCATGACCAAGACCAGCCGCGCGACAGCGTTCCAATTCACAACGCCGTCAGTCCCACCTGTCTGAACGCATGTGATCTTCGGCGGCTCCTCAAACTACGAGATCGGGGCCCTCCCTGAACATCGCTGCCGTCAATCGACTCGGCATGCTGGTTTTGCCAAGAAGCGTGCTCGATAAGTCGTTTCGCATGAAGTCAAAGCCTGCAGGACGTACCCGGAGAAGCGTCATCACGCGTTTTTTTCCCAGGCCACTCGTGCGATGTTGGAACAGCATGTTGCGACGGGGGGCGACACAATAAATGCGACCGACCTCGGGCACGAATCCGTTGAGACCCACCTGCCTACGTGCGCCCACGGATAGTCCCCTTTCAAGCATGTCTGTCAGCGTGTGGGTGTACTATGTGTACACTCGGCATGCACGCGCTCCTGTAATCTCTGGCAACTTCGAACGCGCCGCAAATATGATATGAAGTCCAATGACCCCAGTGGGTCACCGACGCCACCGTCGCAGCGGGCGCGAAACACACATCGAGCACGCGTCAATGCGCCTACGTGGGAAGAGAGCCATCGACCTCTCTGCCACGACCTGGTCGCCCCCAGTGGCGCTGCCGCACTTCAGCCCAGCCCGCGCTTGCAAGACGTGGCGTCGCCGCGCACGTGGCTGTAAACGCCATTCCTGCTCCTGCTGCACGGCTCGGCGGCCATCGATGTTGATGCGAACATCCTGCCGCTGGTGCGTCGTCGCCCGCGGGTCGTGGCACTTCCGGGTGTAGAAATCTTTTACGATGTCCGACCACCCCCCTCTGCTGCGCACCAGCTCTCCGTCGGCATTCTGGAAGGAGCGGAGGAGGATGACGGGCAGGACGATGGAGAGTGAATGAGTGACTGTGAGGGAATGAATGAGGCGCTCTCCAAAGAAGATCCATGGACCGACGGCTGAAAATAAGAGCTGGGCGCGCAACAACTTTTTACGTGCAGCCAACGTTTGACGGGATGCGGAAGAAGAGGGAACGCAAACACTTGCAGTCTCTGGAGCCCTCCAGGTTTAACCCTGTGGTCCACCCGCTGTCCCAGAAAATTGCTGTGCCCCTCGACGAACGGGTAGAAGTTCTACTGTTAACCATGTTTGGGATGAGCATTGGGATGAGGACGGGGATCGAGGACAAGGATGGAGGATACAGGGGCTGTTTTGGGGCTCTGCGCTTCTGAAGAGAGACGCTTCTGGAGAGGGAGAAAGCGAAAGGAGAGGAAGCAACACACATATTGCCGATCCCATATTTTCTGCGCGCACCGCGGAGATCTGGAGACCGATGCGAAACCATAGCATTGCCAATGTGGAGTAATGAATGCCCGATGGAAAACGCCGTAACGCGTGCATCGGCCCCGCTGTGCTAATCCCCCCAGTACCAAGCAAACGGCCATCCGTGGGGACGGGGTGAACCAACCCCGAACAAAAGCACACACACACACACACACGCATACACACATTCACACTAAGACGGTAAAGAGGCAAGAGGTAGAAGAATGGAACTGCTGGGGACCGAAACGGCCCCTGGCATTCAAAGCGGCGAATCGCATTGGAAGCCTAGATCCCAGACTGGGCCGCTACCGACCACGAACCTACAAAGCGAAGAACCGGCTGATCGAACGCACACGGGGCGCATGACGCACTGCACACGACGGTGAGAATTTGCAACAAAAACTCGGCAAACGGAAGGCGCAACGCAAGGGCAACGACCCTACAACTGCAGAGGCAGAAACGGTTGGCGCTCCGCGCGAAGTCCTTACATCTGCACTGGGAGCCCCCTCCCTGGCGCGCGGAGGCGCCGCCGCGGGGGCCCCAGGCGCGGATCCGAGAAATCCGCGCGGAGCGCCAAGAACTTGTGCTTGATGTAATTGAAGGGCCCCCAGAACACACAAACAAATACACACAAATAAAAGAACTCCCCATATTTTCCCATATCTTCTGGGTTTCTGTCTCTCCCCCCCCACTGCCCATATGTTCCCCTATTTTCTGGGGAATCGACGATTCATTGTGTCTGTGCGTTTCTCCCCCTCCTGATTTATCGTCTGGCCTCTTCCGAAAGGACCCCCCCGGCGCCGCAAGTTGGACGCCCGAGTTATCCGGGGTAACTCGGGTCCGGGTTAACTCGGGTTTGGGTTCCCGAAAAAACGAACCCGAGTTATCCCTGACCCGAGTTATCCCTGATGATTCGGGGCTCTGGACGCCCGGAATATCCGGGGTAACTCGGGTCCGGGGTAACTCGGGTTCGGATTCCTGAAAAGCGAACCCGAGTTAGCACTGACCCGAGTTACCCCTGATGATTCGGGGCTCTGAGCAAGCAACCCGCAAGCGCACGGGGCCGGCGGCCGACAAGGACCCCTGGGCGCAGCCGGCGCCGCGGGGCCCTCGCGGCCGTGCCCCGCGGGCCGCGCGCCGCGCCCTGCCACAATGAAGAGAGCCCGCCGCCCCGAAAACGTGGCACCTGAAATCGGCAGAGAGGGGGGGGAGGAGGAGGAATAATGGGCTTAAAAGGGGAGGAGGAGGAGGAGGAGGAGGAGGAGGAGGAGGAGGAGGAGGAGGAGGAGGAGGAGGAGGAGAAGAGGAGGAGGAGGAAGAGGGGGGGAGGAGGAGGAGGAGAGGAGGAGGAGGAGGAAGAGGAGGAGGAATAATGGGTTTGAGGCATAGCGGCAAAGAGGGGGTCGCGCAAAAGAAGGGCCCTGGTCCGCGGAGCTGGAGGGGCAGAGGAGCGGAAAGGGGGGGCCCGCCCGGCCGCTGCCGCGGGCGGCGCCGAGGCCGGCGTCGCCGAAGGCGCGGGACGGGCGGCGCGGCAAAGGGCCCCTCCACATTTAGAGGGAACAAAAACTATGCACATACACCGGTTCTGGCCAGGCCCATCCTGAGCCCAGGATCGGTGCATGCGCCCTCCGACCTTGGCCAGGAGGGCATGTGCACCGATCCTGGGTCAAAGATGGGCCTTGCCAGGATCGGTGCATGCGCATAGTTCTCTTCGCCCGAACCCTTCCATCCATTCTCACATCCCCGCCCTCCTCCAAAAGGCTCCGCAGACTGGGAACGAGCCGGAGCACGCACGCGGGCACTCTGGGCGGCACCAGGGGACGGCTCACCACAAGGCCCGAGCAAATTCACAAACTTGTACGTGGCGTTGCAACCGCAGGTCTGCAAAACAAGACGTGGGATCTCGCGAGAAGGAGGATGGGACGAGAAGGATCTATTGACACAGCGTGCTATTGATACGCCCCGGGGATTCCAGGATTTCTGACAACCTTCGCGCGGGGTACACTTTGCGTCGAGTATTATCTACTCTGGCTGGCGCCGCTGGTAGGTCACTCATTCGCAATCGAGTGGTCGCCCGTATGGGGGCTATTTGGCACTCGCTGAACCCCCTTCTCGTTGCCGAGCGCGGGGGGGACGGTGGCGCTCCGTCCTATCGCCCACCGCCGCGCACCGCGCGCCTCGGCGGAGTTCCAAAGACCTGGTAAGGCAAATCACGCGCGACTCTGGAAAATTCTCTGGGGGTAAATTTAAAAATTCCGGGGACATTATTGAAAAAGTCCGGCCTACTTTTTGAAAATACCAGAATCGATTTTGAAAACTTCCTGGATCGATTTTGAAAATTCTGGAATCCATTCTACAAGCCCGAAACAACTTCTGGGCGGTCCGACGGGCGCGGCCGGCTGATACACGCACCGCGCCGCGCGCGATTGGGCGCAGCGCGCGCCTCGCGCTGCGCCCGCGAACAGCACTCGACAGGGTTGCCTCAGAAACAGCGCTACGGCAGCTGCGACTCGCGGACTCCCCAAGAGCAACACAGCATGCAGCTTGGAATCTCAGAGGGCGATCCGATGCGCGAAAAATGCCCCGCACGCGGGACGCAAAGAACCTGAGCGACGGAATGCGCTCGACCATTCGTCCCTGGAGCCCGCACGGAAGAACAGGACCTGGAAACCTTGAAAACTACCAGCATCAATACTCCATGCTCCTCTGAGAGGAGGAAGGAGGAGGACGAGCAGCAGGAGGACGAAGAGGAGGAGGAGGAGGAGGAGGAGGAGGAGGGATGATGATGATGATGATGATGATGATGATGATGATGATGACGATGATGATGATGATGATGATGATGATGATGATGATGATGATGATGATGATGATGATGATGATGATGATGATGAGGAGGAGGAGGAGGAGGACGAGGTGGTGGAGGAGGAAGATGAAGGGGGTGGAGGAGGAGGAGGAGGAGGAGGAGGAGGAGGAGTGGGACAGGAGGAGGAGGACGAAGAGGAGGGAAGAGGAGGAAGGAGGAGGAAGAGGGATGAAGGAAGAAAAGTCGCTCTTGCTGGGCGCCGGACTCAGCTGTGCGCCTTCCAGGCGGTCAGCTCACCACGAGCCGCGGCATCTAGGCAGGCTGCTGCTCCCCTGGGGAGGAGAACGCGTGCTTCTTTCCTCGAGAATCGGACGCAAACTCCTGAGGAGATTCTGGCCCCCCTCCGCCAACCCGTCTGGGCACATGTCTCGCCTAACTCCTGCGCGAGCTTATCCAACTCCCGCAAAGCGAACAGCACGCCGTCGACGCCGAATTCCTTCAAGCCGTCCGTGGCGAGGCTGAGGAGGACGAGGGACGGCCTGCGCTCGACGATCTCCACCGCGCTCTTACATCATAGCGCCGCCATCGTGCGCGATCTGGACTGCATGATCATCTGCATGCCATCGCGCGGAGCCTTCGAGCGGCCTCTCGAAGGGGCCCCGGAATGCGATGCATTCCGAGGCATGAAACCTCCAGGAACAGGCGACTGGGTCCGAACACGCTCCGCCGCGCACCAGAGACGACTGCGGCGAAGGGCCGCCCCTACGTGCAGCCAGCTCGATGCCTCCTCGCGCTAAAATCCTCGTCCTCGATCCTCGATGCCTCCTCGATCCTCGATGCCCCCTCCTGCAGCCCCTCCCTCCCAGGCAGCGGCGGGGCGCCGCCTGGGCGGCTGCGGCCGCGCGGGGGGCGACAGGCAGTAGCCTCGGGCAGCCCGCGGGGGGGGGGGGGGGGCGGGGAGCTCTCTCCCGCGGCGGCCAGGGAGCCGTCCGCCCCGGGCGCGCCCCGACCCGTCCTCCCTGCCGCCGCCCTCCCCCCCCTCGCCGGCCAGCTCCCCTCCCTCCCCCACTCCCAAGTAGCAGCAGCGAGGGCACGGGGGGGGTGCGGGCGGGGCCCCACTCTTGCGAGCGCGCGGGCGCCTGCCGTCGCTCTTCGAGCGGGCGGGCGCGGCAGAAACGGCCTCCCCGTGCTGCTCGTCGCCCCTCCTCCTCCGCCCTCCCCGCCCGCCCCCTCCCCGCCCCTGGATCCCTCACCACCCCCTCTCCGCCCGCACCGTCCCTCGGCCCCTCCGCTCCGCCCTCGGGGGCCGAGCCCCCCCCTCAGCACGGCACGGGGTCAGCGAGCGAAGAACGGTATAAACTAAACGTTTTCGCTGTCGGGGGCGCCTGCCCCTGGGCGGCTGGAAAGCTTATACCCCCACGGTGCCACCGTAAGGGCAGGCGCCCCCGACGGCGAACAAGTTTATTTCATACCGTTATTCGCCCGTGAACGGGGGGCGGTGCGGGGTTTGGGAGCGGCCAAGAGGGGGGTGTCCAAGAGGGGGGGGGGACAAATCATGACCGGCGGCATGTGCGCGGCCCAGCGGGGGGGCCAGGGACGTAATCAAATAAGAAGAGGCGCCATGAAATCTGGGGAAATATCATGCCCCCCGCCATGATATCCACCCCCCCCTAGTCATCACCCCCCTCTTTTCCGCCCCCGAGGGATGGAGCGGAGGCCGCCCGCTTGAAGACACCCGGGACAGCCACCGCCGTGCTCGGCCAGGGCCATCCTGGGCCCTCGGCACGGCGTGCCCACGCCCGGGAGGCGCCGGGGGCCCGCAGGAGGGCCTGCGCAGCCGCCCCCGGGGCCCAAGGATGGCCCCGGCGAGGTGGCCGTCGGAATGCCGGAGGAGGAGGAGGAGGGAGGAGGAGGAGGAGGAGGAGGAGGAGGAGGAGGAGAAAGAGGAGGAGGAGGAGGAGGAGGAGGAGGAGGAGGAGGAGGAGGGACGGAGGAGGGACGGAGGAGGCACGGGAAGTGGGGTGAGGAGGACGGGAAGGACTCGCGTCGAACCCGGGGCTCCGACAGGCTGATGTCGACGGACCTCGCGCGAGCGGGGCTGGAGCGTGTTTGAGACGGGCCTCTCCTATGGTCGCGTTGCATCGCCGATGAATCCCCGACGCATCGGCGATGCATCGGCGACGCCGGCGATGCATCGGCAACGTCGGCGTGGACAACATCGGGTCCCACATCGAGCCGCATCGCCGATGCATCGAAGATGCGATGCGATACCCCGTCTGCTTCGACCCCATCTGGGAGATCTGGGCCCTGAGCTCTCCGGGCCGCCAGGGGCGACAGGCAAGGTGGCCGCAGGCGTGGCACGAGAGGAATCCCTGAGTCGACTACACGTGTGAGTGACCCTTGGCAAGAGGGACTTTTGGTGCGCGGCTTTAGGGCCCACATTCATGCGCGCAGGCCAGTGCTGGGAGGACCCCAATGGTCCTGGATGCCAGGGCCCGGTGCCCTCACGGATCGATCTGGCTCGAGAAGCAATCACATCAGGAAGACAGCGGCAAAACCCTGATCGTGACTTTTGATGATGCTGTATTGTTCCGCGACGTCTGATCGCAAGGTGGCTCTGCCTGCGCTTCTGTGTCACGGGCCGCGTCGGCGCAAGGCCCAGCGTCCACTGTGGTACCGTCGAGCCAGGGTGGCGCCCAGAGGCAGTGCGATTGCGAGACGATCGTGGGGCCCTGCATCCCCCTTGGAGCAGCAGCCTGCGAGGGCGGACGAGGGCGGATGGAGGAGGGGGCCGCCGCCCCGTGAAGGAACAGAAGGGAGACGACGAGGTGGGCGCGTGGATGCGCAGCCAAGAATAGCATCTGTTTCTCCCCAGGAACCGCGTGTCTGCCACACCCGATCCCGACCACACGCCTAGCCCCAGGCCGTTCACGGCACCGTCTGGCTGGCGCTCTCGCCGGTCGGACTCCTTCTGTTTGCACTCCTGGTCGTCGTTGGCTGGGTCGTCCAGGTCTCTCACTGGCACTACTCGCAGCGGTCGCCCTCTCTCGGGTCGGGCGAAAGGGGGGGATAGCAAAGGGGGGGTTTGAGAATCAGCTCACGCAGCTGATTGTCCCGGCGCCTCCCGGCGCCGGGAGGCGGCCATGTATCGAGGAATGGGCCCCTCGGTGGGGCCGAAACCAGCTGCATGCAGCAGATTTCGTAACCCCCCCTTTCCCAATCCCCCCCTTTCGCCCGGCCCGACTCTCAGTCGAGGATGTCGTCATGCCGGAGTTCTCGCGGGCTGCCCTCGCAGGCCTGCAGAGCTCGACCCCCCAGCGGCTGCGAGCTTACCCAGGGCCGGGTCGAGCCGGCGTGCGCAGGCGGCGGCAGCAGGCGTCGACACCTGGCCAGAGCTGGCGCTGTCCTGGGCCCCAGCGAGGACGGCGAGGGCAGGCGGAGGCGAGGGCGCGCGGGGAAGGAAGGGAAAGCGAGGGGAGAGGCCTCAGAGGGCGGGCAGGAGGGAGGAGGAGGAGGAGGAGGAGGGAGGAGGAGGGAGGAGGAGGAGGAGAAGGAGGAGGAGGAGGAGGAGGAGGAGGAGGAGGGAGGCCTCATAGCCACCGGCCAGGCCAGCTCGGGCCAGCGACTGGAACCCAGAGTCGGCTGCACGCAGGAGTGATCCTAGGAACAAGAGCGACCCCGACCGGTGCGAAACTTGCCGGTCGTTGCAAGCGATGCGACAATAGCATTGGGACCTGCCTCGCAAACAGCGCAAGAACGCCATCCAGGTCCAGCTCATCGCTGGTTCGAGGATAACTGCCGGTAACAAGACGCGCTTCGCTTGGGCCTGGCATCCCCGTGACCCACCCCCGAAATCCGCGCACTCGGCTTTCGCTTCATGACTCGGGCCTCCGGCGTTGCTGCTGCAACGCCGCCAGCGAGGCGCAGCTGCTCGAACGCGTCCCGAGGCAAGAACACCTCCAGGAACCGACGGCGAGGCTCGAACGCATCTGGCCGCACACCACAGGTCACTCCAGCGAAGGGGCACTCTTGCGCGAGAAGCCCGCGCGGCGCCCAGCCCAGGGCCTGGAACCAGCGTGCAGCCCGCCGGCCCCTCTCGGAGCTGGCGGGGGACGGCCCCCTCCAGGAGGGAGGCCCCAGAGTAGCCTCGTCAGAGCCCGCCCAGCGCCGCGTCAAGAGCAGTCCGCACCCAGACATCGTTGAAGTGCCCGCGGGCTTCGCGGACGATGCCATACATCTCGTCGCGCCGCGACGCGTCTCCAGTGTCCAGGTCCTCGAGGGCAAACAGCGCCTGGAAGATCACCTCGGGGACGACGGCGTCCGACAGCGTGCCCTTGGACGCCTCCGTCCTGATGGCCTGCATGAGGAGGCGCGAGGCCGCCGTTGCGTTTGGCTGGGGGCTCCACCACGCACCGCCAGCCTCGGCCGCGTACGTCATGCCCAGGGCCGCGGTTGCCGTCCCTTCTGCGCAGAAGACCAGCCAGTCGCACAGCAACAGCCACGATGGGAGGCCCGCGAGGCTTTTCCTCTGGGGCGCACCGCCCCCCCCCCCCCCCCCCCCCCCGCCCTAAGCCTACCGCCCCTTCTCTGGCGCGCGGAGCGCGCGCCAGTGGCGGCGCCAGTGGCGGCGCCCAGCGGGTGCGGGGAGGCGGGGCCCGGCGACGACGCCAGGAGTCCGCGCGGGCCTCCAAACGCCGATGTCTGCTATAGGGTGCGCCGACGCGTGGGGCCGGGACGGGGGGGTCGTCGCCTCGTGGCCCGAGGCACGAGCGCGGACGAAGGGCGGCCGGGAAACCCCTCGAGGGCAGAGGAGGGGGCCGTGGGATCTGGCAGATCTCATCGCCCCCGCCGTGAGATCCACACCACCTCGTGCGAGCATCGATGAACCGAGTCCTGTCCCCACTGGCGTGGCCTTGGCCCCACTGGCCGATCTCTGCCCCTGGATGGGGATGTGGTTGAGCAGGGACCGACCGTCCCTGCATTCATGGAGGCCGGCCACGACATGTTCTAGACCACACACATCATGTCCTAAGACAAACCACGTTCTCACAGCATCAAACCGATGTGTCACAACAAGACGGTCTCAGCCAGACATGTTCCGAGATAATTTCGTGCGGACCCCAAAGAGGTTCTTAGGCCATTCTTTGGTGGGCCTGTAGGCGAGTCAGGACGATCCTCGCCACTGCTTGGATATAGGCTGTTCCCGTCGAATTCCGAGGGGCCTATACCCAGCTGGGGTCGTGGGATGGTGTGGGCTGAGATAGTATGGCTCGGTAGGGAGGGGGATTGGCTAAACGATGAGGGGTTTGGTGAACCGACAATGACCGTAGGGTGCCCTTGACCTGTGCACGGGCTTGGCCTTCCGCTCTTGCCGCCGGGCGGCGCCCGCGAGGAAGCTGCGCCAGCGCGACCACCTCGGGTGGGTGGCAATGGGGGATGACCTGAGGGGGGGCAGGAGACACCAGAATCGAATCGATAAGTCGGATCGGCGATCGAGATGGATCGGATCGGCGGAAATCGGCAGCCGAGTCGGAAAAAGTCGAATCGGCAGAAATCGGGAGGCTAGTATGCCTCCAATGAGAAGTCGGAACCCAAATCGGAATCCCAAATCGAATCGAATCGGAATCGGAAGCCATCGAAATCGAATCGAATCGAATCGGAGGAATCGAAACGAGCCCTGGGGGGGTGCAGAAAATTGCCCTGAAGGGGCCCGAAAGGCCCCTGCTGGCCCCAAAAGGGGCCCTGAAGGGCCCCTGCTGGCCCCATGGGTACCCTCAGCCAAAAGGCGCCTCCCAGCTTTTCGCTCCACCTTGGAGCCCCTGGAGCCCTCTGGGCTTCGTGCTGGGGCGCTCTGGAGGCCACGGGGGGGCCTCCTTGGAGGTCCTGGGGGCACCTTGGGACAGGGACACTTCTGGCAACACCCGACATGTAGGTCCCCCGAAATTCGACGTAGCAGAAAACATGCAACACGATAGAACATCACGCCCAGAGCCCTAGACCCCATCTTCCTGCGCCATTTTTCGAGCCAGATCGATCTGCGAGGGTCCCCGGGACCGAGAAAAGGCGAAAACGCCTGGCTCGAAAACAACTGAGACACCAAGGTCTCAAGGGACACCTGGGCCCCCCCTTGCGGCCTCCCAGGTGGGATAGGAGTAGATGGGGTCAAAGAATCGAGCTGCATCGCCAATGCATCGGCGATGCATCGCCGATGCATCGGCGATGCACTGGCGATGCACCAGCGATGCCCGCGATGCATTGGCGCCGTCAACGTGGCGACAGTCGGGCTCTGCATCGAGCCGCATCGTCGATGCATCGGCGATGAGGCGCGATCCTTCGACCCCGTCTACTCCGATCCCATCTGGGAGGCCTAGACAAGACGAGCGCGTTCCACTACTCGCAAAGTGACTACTCGCAAATGGCCTGGATCCGCCGCGGGGGACAGACGATCAATTACACCGAAGTAGACATGTGTTCTTTGGACGCTTGCGAGCAGGCACTCTGCGAGTAGCGGAACGCGCTCGGTGATCGAGACCCCTCCTAAAACAGGGCCAGGATCGGGATAAATCGCTCCAGAGCGTTCCGGAGCGCTCTCAGAGCGTTCCGGAACGCTCTGGAGCGGCCGCGGCGCCCAACACATCCTCCAAACCCGCCGATTCTCAGAGATTTCGACTTATCCCGATCCGATTTTGTTCCGATCTTCGCGTCGTGTGACCTCCCCCCTCCCGCCACCCGCCCGACCACCTCCGCAGCTCCCGCAGCCCCGGGCCGCGCACGGGCGGCGCCGCGGCCGCGGGGGGGCGGCCCGCGCGCCACCCCCGGGCGGCGGCCACCGCCCAGCGCCTCTCCGCAGAGGGGCCGGGCCGCCGTGCCGGGCCGGGGCCGTGCTGGGCCCCCCAGGGGATGCCAGGATTGCGTCGGGCGTGTCCTCCTTGAAGCGGAGTTTGGACGAAGAATGAAAACTACCCCAAACACACGAAAAAATAAGCAACACATGCTCAAAGCATCGCCCCCGGACTATTTCTCACTGTGTTTGAATACTCCTCCTGTAGGGGGACAGGCCCGACTGACTGCCAGGAGGCAGCCCTTGGGAGGGCTTCTGCAGAGCGATCGAGGGCTGTCAGTGGGACACCGACGACGTACTATAGCAATTCTGTGTTCTCCTGGGAGGCGTGCATCCGACCGAAGGCATAGCAGGACCGCCTCGTAGCAGATCGTTTCTCGAGCGGCACGGCCAGAGCGCCGCCCTCCACGGAGCCCGCACTGCAAGACTTCTCGGCGCGCGCGTCGCCCCCTGGGGGGGGGGGGGGGGGGGGCGACGCGCACGCAGTGTTGGTACGTCGGTGAGGGGGAGGAGGAGGAGGAGAGGAGGAGGAGGAGGAGGGAGGAGGAGGAGGAGGAGGAGGAGGAGGAGGAGGAGGAGGAGAAGGGGAAGAGGGGGGCCGAGCTGAGCCCGCTCGGGGAGCCCTGGAGCGAACCTGAGCTGCACTCGGCCCGGGAGACTGCGCCCGACAGCGCGGGATGAGGCCGCAGGGGCACCGGGCCACACTGGGCCGCCACCTGGGATGCAGCAGCGCCGATGCAGGACCGAGGCTCCCGCGGGGCCCTCCCGAGGCCCGGGCCAGGACGGGGCACGTGCACCGCGGCGGGGCCCAGGCGGGCCCCGGCCAGGCGTGGTGCCAGCGAGTGCCCTCTGCGGGGCCTCGGCACCGCGTCCCTGACGAAGAGCGCCACCAGCCGCTCCAGGTCGGGGTCCGCCCGCCGGCCGCAGACGATGTTCAGCAGCGCGCTTCCCGACTCTGCGCTCGAGTCGCCCAGGCTGTGCCGATAATGCCAGTAGTTGTCGTGGTCGGTGTCGTAGTGGTCGTGCCACCAGTCGCTGCTGAGGGGCAACAAGATCCTGTCCAGCAGGAGGAAGCAGCCGTAGCCAGCAGTCCAGAGAAAATCCCTCGACCCCTCTGGGGTCATTTGGCGTCTGGTTCGCCTTCCCGGGATTTCAGAATCTTTCGTTAAGTACAGGGAGGAGGTAGACGGGCTGATTTGAGGGGAAGTTCTAGCCAGCCCAAGATGTCCCAGAAGCCAGAAAAAGCGCGCGAGAGGTCCCAGCAGAAGAGCGTGCAAACTTCACACGATGCACCAGAAAACTAGCACCATTGAGCAACACTTAGATGTGTTCACTCGTTTTGGTTTCACAGCCTGCTCGGCTCAAGATCGCCACAAACGTGCACAAAAGGGCCTCCAAACGGCCCCAAAACGACAAATTGCCCTCAGAACACAATCCGCAAACCGCTAAAACGGTCGCAGTCAGGTCGCAAATGGCATCTCAATATGTTTGGTGTTTCACATGACAGACGAAAAGATAGACAATTCGGTCCCAGGATCAACCAGCACGGCCTAATGCAGCCCCAGAAGGCGACACGACGGTCCCAGAGAAAATCTGGAGAACCCCCAAGCATACCAAAAGGGCTGCGACAAGGCTCCAAGACGCCCCAAGCAATCATGAAACAATCGTCACCTCCGCATCATCCTATTATTCTTGCATCCCTCAATCCCTCCACCTGTTTCCGTCCTCCCTCCCACATCCTCCTTTCTCACCCACCGCCCGCAAGCATGATCGACCCAGGAACCCAGAACCAAACATGGAACGGCGAAGCATGGGAACGTTTCCAGGTACCTCAATTAGGTGATGGGCAATGGCCATGCTAAGTCTACCAATGGTGATGACACTGGGCCAGAGGCAATGTTGCGCTGATCTGCGCTGTGCCGCGCAGCACAGTGGCGTGCCAGGGGACGCGCCACGCAACGTGCAAACGGACACACCAAGGGACATGCCAGCGCGCCACGCGTTGTGCCACGGGGGCGCGCCACAGGATCTGCTCGAAATGACTTGGATCTCAAGCTCGAGCTGCCCGACGGCCCGGCTGCCCAACTCGCCCCGAGCCAGCTCGAGACGAAGGTGAAAGAGAAAGCCGTGTCAACTCGAGCTCAAAGTCCGACTCGATTCCGAAGCGAGCCGAGACGACACGGGGCGCAGGGCGCATGGACGCGCCACGGAATACGTCGGAGGCGCACGAGGCCAAGGCCACGCTGACGGCGGTACTGGTTCATGGCGATGCTGGGCATCTGGTTCTTGCGGCAACGAACCCGCGCAGAATTAGTTGTAACTCTTCTTCTAACTCCCAATGGCAGCGTCTGTCGGTGCCAAACACTCCTAACAATAAAACTGGCTTGGTCTGGGCAGTCAGACGGATGCTCGCCTGGCACGCGCACCAAGCTCACGCCGAATTTGGTGAGCAGCTGGGGAACGCCCCACCGTTCACTCCAAATCGGGTCAGCAAGGCAGGATTGCTGTCCTGATCTTCCTGGATCAAGACCCTTCTTTGCGGCACGGAGCAAGTTCAGGAGGTCGGCTGGCGCGGGAGCCCGAGGCTCGGATACAGTTCAGTCGCGGCACTGCGTGGCACAGCCAGGGAAGAGACCCTTGAGTAGCCTGCTGCGCTGCTGCTTGACATCACGGGTGGGCTGTGCACCCGGGCAGGCACGACGCAAAACGGTCGAGTCCGACCCAGGCGTGCCCGCCGCGCCGGAGGCAAGACATGACGCACCCACTCTCGCCCGCCCGAATCCCACCCCTGTCCCAAACCTTCATCATCACTAGGTTGCGACCCGGAAGCAACAGCATAATATTAGCCTCAATAAGTGCCTGGGCCGGAATCTGGCGCTGGTGCCGAGTGTAAAAGCAGAAGGACCCGGAAATTGAGCAAAGCCCTGCGCGCGCCACAACGGGCTAAATCACGCAGGTGCTTTCCGTGCAGGCGACGGGCAACTTTGGAGGGCTGCACCTTGTGAGGGGCCTTGACACTCTCGGGGCCTTCGGGGTCCTCCTTGAAGATCCCCGTGGCATCCGACCAACCACCTTGGGCCAAAAGCATGTATCGATGCCCTCCCCACCGACACACGGCATCCTCTTGCGCAACGAACTCATCATATTGACTGGTGGCATCATCTACAGACGGGTGGAGGACAGCGCCAGGCTGCGCAAATATGTGCGCATGCTTGTTGCCCTCGCGTTCGAAGTCGCCCGGGCGTCCATCAACTGTCGTCGAAGGTCGGGTGGACTGAAATTTTGCGAGCAATGCTGCCGCCCCAAAAAATGAACCAGACCATGGCCCGGGTGGGCCCGAAGGTTGGACGAACAAAAACGGAGGGCCCGCTGTCTCTGAAGCGCCCCATGGTCTCAGCACAATCCGTCCAAATCTGGAAGCCACTTTCAGCAATGCGGGTGCGCATGCAAGATCCATATTCTCCACCATCACGAGCCTGCTGCTAGGGCCCATGCTCTACAGGCGCAGCCCCATGCGCACCAGCAGCTATACCCCCTCGATCATGAACTTGACGCACAAACCGTCCAATTCGG